AATATAAACATTGATCTCTTGAGAATTACTAAAAAATAATTTTTTCTGTGGGATAATATATGGGATATACTACAAAACTCTAAGAAAAGTTTTATGATCTATCATCAGTTGAATATATCTGTCTACAAACGTTGTTATATTTTTTTACACACATACTGCAAGACTATATTGCCATATTGCAAGACTATATTGCCAATGTACAAATAAAAATATTAAATTCTTGTATTAAAATGTTTTTGTTTTAGATGATTCAGGACATTTCTTAAGGCCATGGATTATGACTCCTGTAATAGGTGCAGAAAATAATCCAGAAGCAGCATATAATACGAAGCAAATAAGATGCCATTTGTTAATAGAGCAATGCAATGGAGTATTAAAAATGTTTTAGATGCCTATTAAAGCACTATTATATACAGGGTGTCCGTAGTGTTCCATAGATGTCCGAGCAAATATCTCGCAATGGTTAAAGTTACATGTGAAAGTGTAATAAGAGAAATTTGCACGGCTCTGAGTCAGCTACAAAATGCAAGTAAACAATTTTTTTACTCGTGACCTTTTCGAGTTATGTAGGTCAACATAGTTTTTTTAAATGGATACCTATAATTTTTCTTGCATATTTATATAGGAGAGGTCATTTGTAATCAAAATCATATATAGTAAAAAATTGCTACTATGCATCGTTTACGAGATAATCGGCATCTTAAGTATTAAAGTAGTAAATTGAATTGTAAGTATTTTTGAATGTGGTTTAGAATGTCAAAGAGATTAAGAAACAAACATTGTTTTTTCATGAAACATTTATTAACACATAAATTGCTCGAAAATTTGACCATCATATTCGATGCAGCATTCAACGCATTTTATAACGTTTTCTATTGTTAACTTCTATTGTTAACATTTCTGCTGTAATGCTTTCAACAGCTCTAGTGATTTTATATCGTAAATCTTCTTCATTTTCAGGAATAGTTGCATAGACAGTGTCCTTAATATATCCCCAAAGAAAAAAATCGCAAAGTGTCAAGTCCAGAGATCTCGGTGGCCATCGCATAGGGCTTATCCAACAATTAGGGAATTTATCATTTAAAAAGTTGACTACAGCACGTATTGTATGCTGGAACAACATCTTGTTGAAAAATAATGTCTCGAAAGATTGATAATGGAAGATCGCGTAAATATTCTAAGAAAGTAGTTTGCAAAAATTCC